GCAGACCGCTGGCTAGTGTGTCACAACATATGCTACTCTTTGCAGTCTATTTACATCTATTCTTCCATATACAGTATATATACATTATATTGCCAAAGTATTGGGCCACCTCTACAAATCATTGGATTCAGGTGTTCCAATCACCTTCATGGCCACAGGTGTATAAAATCACGCACCTAGGCATGCAGACTGCTTCTACAAACATTTGTGAAAGAATGGGTCGCTCTCAGGCGCTCAGTGAATTCAAGCGTGGTACCGTGATAGGTTGCCACCTGTGTAATAAGTTCATCCGTGAAATTTCCTTGCTACTAAATACTCCACGGTCAACTGTTAGTGTTATTATAACAAAGCGGAAGGAACTGGGAACAACAGCAACTAAGCCACGGAGTGGTAGGTACGTAAAATGACAGAGCGGGGTCAGCGCATGCTGAAGCGCGCAGAAGTCACCAACTGTCTGCAAAGTCAATAGCTACAGACCTCCAAACTTCATCTGGCCTTCAGATTGGCACAACAACAGAGTGCAGAGAGCTTCATGGAATGGGTTTCCATGGCCCAGCAGCTGCATCCAAGCCTTACATCACCAAGTGCAATGCAAAGCATCGGATGCAGTGGTGTAAAGCACGCTGCCACTAGACTCTAGAGAAGTGGAGATGTGTTCTCTGGAGTGACGAATCACGCTTCTCTGTCTGGCGGTTGCCAAGAGAAAAGTACTTGCTTGACTGCATTGTGCCAAGTGTAAAGTTTGGTGGACAGGGGGATTATGGTCTGGGGTTGTTTTTAAGGGGTTGTGCTTGGCCCTTTAGTTCCAGTGAAGGGAACTCTTAAGGCATCAGCATACCAAGACATTTTGGACAATTTCATGCTCCCAACTTTGTGGGAACAGTTTGGGGATGGCCCCTACCTGTTCCAACATGGCTGCGCACCAGTGCACAAAGCAAGGTCCATAAAGACATGGATGAGTGAGTTTGGGGTGGAGGAACTTCCCTGGCCTGCATGAATTAGAGCGGAGACTGCGAGCCAGGCCTTCTTGACCAAGTACCTGCGCTTCTGGAAGAATGGTCAAACATTCCCATAGACATCAAAAAAGGATGAAATGAAAACAAACATGTAAAGTTGAAGATACAGGAGAAATAAATGAGACGCTAGTTTTGTCCCAATTCAAAGCACAAATGTAGTTTTAGTATCCAATATGTAGTTCCATGATTGCCCTTGACAAATTCAGGCACAAGGCAAAATGATTTCAACCCTGTGAAGAAGAGTATTTATCTTTAACAAATCTTGTTTAGAGCCCTCTTGTAGTGCAGCTGTCCAAGCACAGAACACCAATATTGGCTGATTTCAGACAATAGAATTGGGAAAGGAGTGGGTGGGTGATGTAATTGTATCCAGACAGATTGTAAATATATCATCTTCAAAACTCAGATTTTCAGTCTAAGCTTTCAAAACTGCAATCCAGGGATAGGAGACAGGAGGGAGGGAGCAATAAAAAGATTATAATAGCCTTCTTGCACAGGTAGAGTTAAGCTGGCCATACATCTATAGATTTTGTGCAGATGTAAAAAGTGCAACAGATTCCTCCATCTATGCTAAACTGTGTGGATGGAGGATTCTCCTGCTGGGCCAAGCTTCAGTATCTTGCTAGTCGACCCCACTGGCTCTCAAAATACCTGAACAATCTGATTGGATGCAGGCATTGTTCAGGTGTTCATTGGCCCAGTGGGAGATTCCTCCATCCATTCCTTCATCATAGACATCCTACCAAATAAGCCCTGAAATCAGCCCTCAGCACTTTACCTGCCCCATCAAACCCAAAACAGATCCCTAAATCGAGCCTTAAGCTCAACATTTAGGGTACTTTTTATAAACAATTCACAAAGTCATTCTCCCAGCGAATCTCTGAGAAGGTTCGTTCTCAGTGAATAGAGGCACAAAACCAAATGTGTTTTGTATATTTTCTTTTCAAGTCAAATATAAAATAATGTTGCACTATGGCCACTAAATGGAGCTGACGAGCATAGGAAATGCTGTATCCTCAGCTCCATCTAGTAATGTGGTGCTTCATTACATTATGTTTGACCTGAAAAGAAATTATACAAAGAACGTTTGTTTGGTTTTATTGCCTCTATTCGCACAGAGCGAACCTTCTAAGTCCGCATTCACAACTAGGCATTAGCATTTTTGTGTATATTTATCCTAGTGCTTTTGAGGCTCTTTTGCACATTTGTATGTGCATCTAAAGCATGAGAGACATTGGTGCAAATGGGCAATTGCATCTGAAAACACACACAAAATTTCCTCTGTTGCGATATTCCAGGCGTTTCCTATTGAGTGCATGGTGACCAAACGTGCTGTAAACTGCCAAAACAAGCTCATGTACTTTTTCGAGCGTCAGACGTTTTGCAGCTTGTGACAAAATGCTCAGGTGTGAACATGGGCCATAGGACTGAATAGGATTTCTTGTTTTGCGTGACAAAATGCCTAGGTGTGAATGGAGACGTAGAGATTCACAGGACGAATGGTTCTGCAAATTGTTTATAAATACACCACTAAAAGTGTAGCTTTGTTTTTACAACACCAATAACTCTCTCCTAGTCAGGGACATACTAAGAAAGTAATTGAGATCTGTCAGTCTGGAAAAGGTTATAAAACCACTTCTAAAGCTTTGGGACTTCAGCGAACCACAGTGAGAGCCATTATCCACAAATGGCGAAAATATGGAAGAGTGGTGAACCTTCCCAGGAGTGGTCGACCAACCAAAATTACCCCAAGAGCAGAGCGACGACTCATACAAGAGGTCAGAAAAGACCCCACAACAACATCCAAAGAACTGCAGGCCTCACTTGCCTCAGTTCAGGTCAGTGTTCATGACTCCACCATAAGAAAGAGACTGTGTAAAAATGGGTGCATGGCAGAGTTCCAAGACGAAAACCGCTGCTGAGCAAAAAGAACATAAAAGCTTGTCTCCGTTATGCCAGAAAATATCTTGACAATCCCCAAGACTTTAGGGAAAATACTCTGTGGACTGACGAGACAAAAGTTGAACTTTTTGGAAGGTGTGTATCCTATTACATCTGGCTTAAGAGTAACACCGCATTTCAGAAAAAGAACTTAATACCAACAGTAAAATATGGTGATGATAGTGTGATGGTCTGGAGCTGTTTTGCTGCTTCAGGACCTGGAAGACTTGCTGTGATAAATAGAACCATGAATTCTGCTGTCTACCAAAAAATCCTGAAGGATAATGTGCGGCCATCTGTTTGTGACCTCAAGCTGAAGCGAACTTGGGTTCTGCAGCAGGACAATGATCCAATACACACCAGCAAGTCCACCTCTGAATGGCTGAAGAAAAACAAAATGAAGACTTTGGAGTGGCCTAGTCAAAGTCCTGACCTGAATCCTATTGAGATGCTGTGGCATGACCTTAAAAAGGCGGTTCATGCTCGAAAACCTTCCAATGTGGCTGAATTACAACAATTCTGCAAACATGATTGGACCAAAATTCCTGCACAGCGCTGTAACAGACTCATCGCAAACGCTTGATTGCAGTTCTTGCTGCTAAGGGTGGCCCAACCAGTTATTAGGTATAGGGGGCAAACACTTTTTCACACAGAGCCATGTGGGTTTGGATTCTGTTTTCCCTTAATAATAAAAAGCTTCCTTTAAAAATTGCATGTTGTGTTTACTTGTGTTATCTTTGACTAATATTTAAATTTGTATGATGATCTGAAACATTAAAGTGTGACAAACGTGCAAAACAGTGAAAAATCAGGAAGGGGGCCAACACTTTTTCACACAACTGTACATTGCTAGAATTTTACCAAACTTCATTCAAGAGGCACAACTGATTTAATTTGTATTAAACCTTACACATGGACACACTTACTCTACGTGCTGACTGGGAGGGTCCTGCTATAGTCAGATGATAAGTCCTAGTGTTGTACCAAAGGTGCTAAAATGTAGAAAAGGGACATCCCCTTTACTGTCCATATAAACTAGGCCCTATGGTTAAACTACATATGATGCACTGGACATGCCACATCCAATACAATCGTCACCATGTAACATAATAGATGCTGCACGAAGCACCCCGATACAGCAAAGAGCACCCCAAAACCCACTGTATCACGCACCTCAATACACAAAGCACCATACACCTATTACATGCAGGCCTCAGACAGTTAATGCATATTTAGTTCAGCAGGCTGTAGGAAGGGAGATGGATAGAAGAGGCTGCAAGCACTGACTTATCAAAATAAAATGAACATTATAACGATAGTTTTGTTAACCCGTCCAATCACTTTTTTCCTTGACAGAGACCAGTCTGCAAAAATAGCCAGATCACTTGTGAAAATCTTATATCTATAGTTTGTAACAGCCTTATAAACAGGGTTCCTCCAGATTTTGCCTGGGGAGCCTTTCATCACAGGCTCCGTTCAATATTAGGACATAGTGAAATTACAGTTTAAGCCAGTAGATGGTGGTAGCACTACTAACATAAAACAATTTTACTAAATATTTGCTACAATGGGTAGTTTATTCACTGTACTTATCCCATTACCCACTGTCAGCTGCTTATATATACTTGGACAATGTTGTCTGAGACACTTTACTTAGGGTGCATCTCTTTTTTTTTAATTCCCTTCCATAAAAAATCTGGTTTTGCCATTTCTATTTTTGTGAAGGAAACATAAAGCAGAAATTATGACAGAAATGTCTTAACAGCCACAAAACCAGTATGCAACTGCTAACAGTACATATAAATA